AGGGAAGGAAGGAAAATAGAAATAGCACTTAGACTTATATACTGCTTCACAGTACTTACTAGCTCTCTCTAAGCAGTTTACAGTGTCAGCATATTGCTCCCAAAACAATCTGGGCCCTCATTTTACCACCTCATAAGGATGGAGGGCTGAGTCAACCTTGAGCCAGTCAGAATGGAACTCCTGGCAGTGAGCAGCCTGAAATGCTGCATTCTAACTCCGGGAGGGAGATATAGAAAGGAAAGGAAGGAAGGGAAGGAAAGGAAAGGAAGGAAGCAATAGCATTTAGACATACACCACTTCATAGTGCTTTACAGCCCTCTCTAAGCAGTTTACAGAGTCAGCCTATTTCCCCCAACAATCTGGGTCCCCATTTTACTCACCTCGGAAGGATGGAAGCTGAGCCAACCTTGAGTCCGGTGAGATTCGAACTGCCAAATTGCAGGCAACCGGCAGTCAGTAAAAGTAGCCTGCAGTACTGCACTCCAACCACTGCACCACCCCAGCTCTTTATACAGATAGTCCTTGACTTACAACCATTTGTTTAATGACCAGTTGAAATTACAACTGAAAAAAGTGACTTATGACCATTTCTCATACTACAACCGTTGGACCAACCCTATGGTCATGTGATCAAAATTTGGATTCTTGACATGTATTTACGATAGTTGATGTGTCCCAGGCCACCCTCTGACAAGCAGAATGAATGGAGAAGCTTGATTCACTTACTAACTTAAAAAGTGTAGTGATTCACTTAACAACTGTCAAAAAAGGTTGTAAAATGGGTCAGAACTCACTTAACAACCATCTTGCTTAGCAACAGAAATGTTGGGCTCAATTGTGCTTGTAAGTCGAGGATTATCTATACAACCAGTGCTTTGATATAAGTTGCAATGATTCTTTTTTCAATGTTATCCTCAACTTTGGAATAAAAAAAAGCCAAGTCATTTTATGCTTGTAATGTTGACATCCTAAATTGTAATTAACATGAATAGAATATTTTTCTTTCCCTTCTCTCTTCCCAATACTCTAAGTCATCTAAACAATGGTATGTTAATTGTCTCTAATCATATTATAGAAACATTCCTGTGTTTCAACAATGCACTTATTAAGATGTATAACAGCATAATAAAAAGGTTAATAGCAATCTTGCAATAATATCTTTAACACCATCAAACAATATCTACCTATCTCAGGTTGTTGAGAAGGACTCAATGGGTGGCTAAAAATACCACATCCAGTCTAAACCTCTGGCTGAGTGTGCAACAAACTCAGAGGTGGTATTCAGCCAGTTCTGACCAGTTCTGGCGAACCAGTAGTGGAAATTTTGAGTAGTTTGGAGAACTGGCAAATACCACCTGCCCCATCTATTCGCTGCCTCTTGAGTCCCAGTTGATCGGTTCGGTCTTCTTCTGTTGCCCTGCACAGGAGAACGGAGCTGGAAAGCAGGTTAGTGGGTTGGGGAGGGAATGGGGATTTTACAGTATCCTTCCCCTGGAGTGGGGGGGAATGGAGATTTTGCAGTATCCTTCCCCTGCCATGCCCACCAAGCCACGCCCTCCAAGCCACACGACACCCACAGATCCGGTAGTAAAAAAATTGAATCCCACCACTTGAGAAATGTTTTTCCAAACTTGGCCCAGTTTTCCAGAAGTTCCCTCCCATTTCTCTACTAGAGGAAACAAATCAGAGGAAATAATTGTTTTAGGTGAGCTTCCTAGCATTGTAAGAGTGCTGGACTGATCTTCAGAAATAGCCTAACTGACAGGACACGCGCTCAAAGGAACAGTTGCACTGGGCAAAAGCTCTCGTTCACTTCCCCCCAACACTTTCCAAAGGGTGCCAGACCTGTTTTCAGAAATAGCCCAGCTATCAGATAAGAGGGGAAAATGAAGGAGAGCAGAAGAAATTAGGAAGAAGGGAGCAATTGATAACAAGTGAACTGGCACTGCTGCAGCTGGATTACATCTGCAAAAGCCTCCAGAGTGGGCAAGAAATAGAAAGAGAGAAAAGAATGCCTGGTGCCAATTATTATTTAGATTTAGATTTTAGATTTTATTGAACATTTATATGCCACCCTTTTCCCTGAGGGGACTCAGGGCGGCTTACAACAATGGGGGGAAGGGAGTGCAAGACAAGACTTAAAAGAAAAAGAAACGTGAATAAAAGAAATTAACCATAAAAACACAACATTCACTCAACATTCGGGCAGGGTGAGAATAATCCTATCACCAGGCCTGATGGGATAGCCAGATCTTG